GTTAAAAAGGACCCCAAAATACTGCTGAAAGCCATGCTGTAAACACTGATGAACACCAGCAGGAAAGCAAAGCCCTTTCTGTCAGATATTTTTTAGGTTTCGGCTTCCCACAGTCAGACTAAAGCCGCTGTTCAGCAGATCTAACAAGGGCTTTGCTTTGGATCGGTCAGGTACCCCTTCTGTCCTCTTGCTATAAAAACAACCCCCAAGCCCTCCTCCATCTCTCCCGTGACCCTGAAGCTGAAACATCCTCAGTCCCTTTACAAAGGACTTTTACAAGGTCAAGAATATAAAGTTTTTGATCAATTAATATGCTATTTCAGTTCACAGAAAGAATGTATGTTAAATTGAACAAAGATAACTGGAAGTGCACAGAGTAAAAATTAATATGTTTCATAAAAAGCATCAATTATCATGAGTTCACTAAGAATGATCTGATAATACAGTAGATACTCCCACAATTTCACCTGTGAAGGTTCTCAGCTCAAAATGCACTGTGAGCTAAGAGCCTTTGTTTCTGCGGAAACCAACACAAGGAGGTAAACAGGCAGTATTCGTGGGTATTCACAATTTGAAATTGTGAAAGAGAGACAACTTCTTTGGACTAATTTAAATTGAAGTAAAATTTATCGGTTTAATTTTAAGGGGAAAAAAAAAAATCCTGTGCATCATAGTCAGTCAAGATGTTAGATATTGTGTGTTATGCTAAAGGTAAAAAACTCTTTTAAAAGAAGTAAAGAACTTATGCTGCAGTTCGAAAGGAGAAAAAAATAAAACAGGCAACCCCCCTCAAGACCTGCTCTTCACTGAAAGACAGTACTTATCGGCAGCAAGACTTCCATTAAGAATATATTATTCCTAATGCAATTTACATTTCATTTCATTCTTTTACCAGAGCTTCCAATGTTGTCTCAATACCAGTGCACTAATAATGGGTGATGAAATGGGTAGACAGAGAAAAATACAAAAAGCTATGAAATTGGACTAATTGTTCTGTCTGAAGTGAGCATTGTGAGTGAAATGTAACTCTTGCCAATTTGATTTTTTTTTTTTTTAAGCTGTATTTTTTTCTACATTCTATTGTAAACATCCATTTTGGTGTCTTTTTAGAATTGGGTTGTTTTATAGCTATTTTAATTGCTTTTCCATTAGTCACCTTAGTGATGTGGAACAAATACTTCAATGAGACCTAAGCTGAGCAAACCTCTCTTCAAATTCGGTTGGCCCTTAAAAGCCAAAGGCACAGTTAGAGTTATGCCTTGATTGCTTGAACATACGTATCATCCGGAAAGAAAGAGCCACTTCTTCTGGGTAAGCAGTCAGGACAATCAGGAAATCTGTCACTTCTGCCTGAAGTATTTCATTCATCATGAAACAATCTTGCCTATTTGTATCACTCGTAATCTACATACAATTTGACTTGTATGAATGTTTGTAAATGAAAGCTGTAAAAACTTGCTGAATTCAAATTCGGTTTCTGCCTCACTGACTTTTTAACATTTATTTCTTCTGCTCTTGACAAATACAGGCAATGATAATAAATTGAGGATAAATGAGAGACCTACTTCCCAAATTAGATAAGTGCCTGCCAAGCTCTTTCACCTTTTCACCCAGGCATCTGTGTGGACAGCCCAAGTCATCTGCTGCCCAAGTAGGAGTTTGTATTTTGATATCTAAACTAATTATACCAAATGCTCTGGTGTAGCCCCATGTACTTTCTTATCTACGTTCGGCAGCATGTCATGGAAAGAATGAGCAAAATCTGAAACATGAATACAAGAGCAGATAAACTGAAAGAACACTGAGAAGAGCTTGTCAAGCCCCTGTTCCCCCAACGTTGGTAGGGAAAAAAGCTTATATGAAACTTTGCTGATTACTCTGAAATTTGAGTTGGGAGGGGAGAGAGATTCTGAAAATATTAAACAATGATATTGCCAGAAAGAATTGTTTTGATTTTTGGTTCTGAAAAATCTTTTACCTACATTTTAAAAAGTATCTATTAACATAACCCAGAAGATCAATGTTGCAGTAAGTCTTGTCAGGAATTTTCCAGAGCACAAATTTTTGAACATCTGTGGAATTAGTTTCAAATCATTTTGTTGAATCATTTTGTTCAATCATTGTGTTGAAAAGCTCCATCGTTTTGTTCTCTCTGCTGCTGGGTAAGGCCAGCTGCCTTTGAAACCGAGCGCTGAGCTCTGCCTTCCCAATTCCTTCAGCAAAAAGATCCACAGGAGAACTAGGATTCACATGCAGCCGGTCGGGCCGGACTGAGGCGATTTAATTGTCCGTTCACTGCATAGCCATGAACCTGTTTTTTTCTGCAGGGTTTGAAGGAGAGGGAAGGGGCAGAAGGCTTACAGGTGCAGAGGTTTTCTTGAACTCAAGTGCAAGGAAAGAGATATTCTACATGTGTTTTGAGAGGAAAAATAAGAAAAATGGTACAGACCTCCTTAGGGCTGAAAGGCAGCACTTGAAAGCAAACTGTATCGTAATACATCTGAGCTGCAAGGAAGCTATCCTAGTTACACTGGAGAAATGGCTCTGTGCACGTGCAAAAATGTTAGCTGTCCTCTTGGGCCAGAAAACTCAAGGGTGTCTCCGTCTCGGATCCTTCCACCATGAGGCAGCATTTCATCTCACAGTTGGTGGACTTCAGTATGTCCTTAGAGAAATTTTGGAGCCCTAAGCAGAGGAACTGCCCTCCTGATTCAGCCTCGGTGTCTGCCCGCTCTGATGGCTTGATCTCCAGAAGGAAGGTTCAAGGTCTACCCCAGCAGCCGACAGTCAAGTTCTGCTCCCACAGAGATCTTACACCAACCTCTTAAAACACAAATCCCTATCTATTTAAAATAAATTACCAGATAGAAAACGTGTACCACCAAACACTTTTCTGTTTTGCCTAAGCTACATGGCAGCACATGTCTCCAGTGTGGGGTACAGACAGCTGTGGGGTGCAGGACAGGCAGTAACACCGCAGTGAAGTGAGTGTTTTATGCTTTTCATTTTTACATGCTGCAATTTTCAAAGCACATCTGCAGTCTTTCTACCACGGCAGTATATTTTTCTCAGCTATGGAGCCTTTAAATGATTTCAGTCTTAAAAAAACCAACCAATCTGCAGAAAATAACCATCCAGGTTGAGAGCAAGACCAAGGGTAGCAGGCACAGAGTCGGCAGGGCACTGATTTCCTGGAAATATTTAGAAAGTATGTATCATTTTGTGAACAAAAGGGGCTAAAACCGCAACGGAGAACCTGGCATGAGCAGGTACTGCACACGTTTCTTCCTGCAGTCATTCAAGACCATGACCATGACCATGACATCTCTGCTCACACCATGCCAGCCCTCACCTGCTGCCCAGGAGCCAGCCAGTGCTCTGCTCCTGCAGTGCGCAAGCATCAACCTTGCAACCAGGGAGTCAAAGCTGTCTTATACTTGCTGCCTAATCAGGAGTTTGAGCTGGGGTTTCCAGAAAATGAAATACTAATGATTAACAATTGATTAGTACAACTGCATCAATCTCAGGTGATTACCTGGAGAAGTGATTGTAATTTGCACTTTCAGATTGCCTACAAAGACAGCTGTTTTTAACCATATTGTTTCGGTTGGTGTTTTTTTTTTCCCCCTACGTGACATTAATGTGAGTATTTCTACAGGCATTTTCATTTCTGAAGGGAAGCAAATTGTGCTTTGCATTTTAATTTACCATGACAACTGATTTGTTTCTTCTAAATCATTTCTTAGAAACATAAGAAATTCCTACTTTCACTTGCCATCTTGCGAACGGCTCATCACCAGCCACAAAGTGCACAGCCTCTGTCTCTGTGATGTTCAGGAGAGGAATATTTCAGTCAACAGCTTCAGAGCTGAGAAAATCTGCTTTTGTGGTTTCTTGTTCTCTTGATATCCATTCGCCATTGAGATGCTACGGTAAAACAGAAGGAGAGTGCAGAAACTGAAGGCTCATATAAAGAAATTCCAGTTGTCAACATATGTTTATATTTCTAATTAATAATATGAGGTATTTCCAGATGGTTTATTTAAAAGAAATGATGCTGTTACTATAGCCACATTAAAGAGCAAGCCATGCTCATCTATGCATGCAAGTAGTCTATTGATTTAGGAAGTTCTGTGGTCTGCGCTTGGGATGAGCGGCTCAGATGAGACAGGGTAATGTGGTGGAGCAACTTTGTGTTTGCTCCTGGAGCTCAGCAGCCAGCTCGTTGCTCCCTGAAGGTGATGTCAGCTACCTGTCCAGATCAGCTGCACAAGACATCGCTGCTTGTTAAGACCCTACGGAGCCCTAAGCGGGCACGGTAGGCAAATCTCCGCTGTGCCTCATTAGCGTGTTAGCATTGAATGGGAACCAGGCTGAAGGTCTTTTATGAGGTGGATTGATGAGATGAATCAAACACTTCATATCTGAGTATGCTGGCACACCAAATAATTCCGTCCTAGCCTTGCCCGTGTATAGTTGTTTATAATGAAATTATAGTGTTAGCAGAAGAGATGGGTTTAATACTCATTAAAACTTCTGATTTGGTATCGAGCTAAGAAAATTCAAATAAGAGCCTCTCTAACTATGTTGAGGAAACCTTGTATTTAACCACAAAACTTAGCGTTCAGATGTGTTTAGGAAAATAACCAAGCGGACCCATTCCAGATGCACAAAATGAGAAATAATATTGTGATTTCAGGCTTCACTGGACTACAGTGCAGCTGAACCAAACAAGAGTTAAACAAAACCCCACAGAGAAAATTAGTAAGAGCGCATAGCTGTGCATTTCCAAGGAACCAGTCCTGGAAAGGGCTGAGCCTCTTCAGCTCCCTTCGCTCGTAGCAAACATATTGGCAATGGGTTTTGAAGGTATTTGCACCCCTCTGTGGCAGTGAGAGATGATGGCACTCAGCACGGTTGAGCGTAAAAGACTTTAATATAAACATGTCAAAGTTTGACTGTATCATCAATACTTTATGAGCCCATGGGAAGTTGCTTACAAGTAATCTGGTGACCTCGCAGTGCAGGTTGGGCGACTCTTTGAAGCCGAGGCCGAACACCCGGATCCTGGTGCAGTCAGAGGCTCGGACGTCACAGAGGCCCCCATTCTCTAAGCCTGTGATTTCCAAAGCTTGCTCTGAAAGGGTGAGATAGATACAAAGCTTTAGAGAGTAGCACTTACATGCTGTTCTGTTCTGGTTTATCAGAGATTTTGTTGTTGTTGTTCCCAGTTGTTTTGGTTTCATTCTTTTCCTTGGGGTCTTCCGTGCTCCCCTGTGAATTACTCTTGAAAAGAGGAGCAGCAGTTGTCAAAACAGGAAGCAGGAAACCTCCATTGGATAATTGTCCTGTGTACTCAGTGCTACAAGATGTATCAGTGAGCATTATACGGCTCGTGGAATCAATTAACTGAAGCTGCGGCTTCATGTTAAAAGGTCTCCAGTGGTAATGCTTCTGCTGACCCAAGTAACAGGATGGGAGCACAGCTGAGAGGACAGGGTGTCATGCCATAGCATAGAGAAGTAGGAGAACGAGAAGTGGAAATATCTGAAGATGACCGTGCCACCAGGCTCCTCATAATGTGAAACAGCAGTGCAAAAGACAGTCCTTTTTTTTCAAAAGATATGGATGCAAGAAAAGTAATGATCCTCAAAGGGATGCTTACTTGCAAGGGTTAAGGCATTAATGGGTGGCACTTAGCTCTGCACAGTGTCAGCACAAATGTCATGCACCAGCTAAGTTTTACTTAAATCGTATTTTGAGGCCTTAAGCAGAGCTTTAAGTGCTGTCCCCCTTACAAGGTTGAATTTCACCCATTACTGTTTTAAAAATGTTTTATGATTCTCAGGTAAAGGTTCATTTGTGTTCTGTTGTACTTTAGGTATTCACCATTTAAAATTGCTCATTGCTTTCATATTGGGGTTATTTTTACAGAGTCAAAATGCAAGTTCATTGGATGGCAGAATTCACATCTTTAGAAAAAATATAATTGGGCAGATATTTGCATCGGCACCAGCACAGTGTAGTGCAAGCTGTTTTCCCTGTAACGTGGCAGGGAGAAGCTGCTTAGCTTTTCCTCTTCCCTGCCCCATCACCGCTGCGCTAGCAAAGCAATATTGCCCACCAGTTTTCTCTGAGCTGTAGCTTATCTAAAACAGAAGCTCTGTGTCGCCTAATATTTTAATGGTACATTGGTTCAGCTCTGATTCGAGGGGCAAAACGCCCTGAGGTGAGCTGATAACCTTCCCCAGTACCTTGCTGTTCCTTTAGGGCTCTGCCGTTTAAGCTGTAACTAGGATGAATGAGGTTTAAACACTGCGATCGCACCAGATTGCAGCCTGTAACAACATAGCTGCATGACTCTCGTTTTTCCAGGGAGAGGAAGGAAAGCAACATAAATGTGAAAAATAGTGGAAAGACTTTTCCTGTACTTCTGAAATGCTTTTAGCTTTTCTTTCTTTTATTTTTTTTAATAGATTTTATTACGACAGTATTTGCAGCACTGTTGGACACTTTGTGATATTTACAGGAAAAGAAATGGTTTACAGCTTATCAGCATTCATCTGTTAGTTGTGGATTCCTATAATGTACAAAACTATTAGTCAGATGTACTGAATGGTTTTGATAAATTGCCTTCTTCTGTCGTTAGTGCATAAAAATTAAAAAAAAAAATGCTTCATTATGTTTTTCATGAGATTTTAATAGTTAGCCCCACTAGTACTGAGGTAGCTGGGATTGCATTAACATTTTCATTATCATTGCAGATTTTCAGGCTTCTGTGGGTGAAGTAAAATCTCATAGCCTGGGAAGGAGTGAGGCACAGGAGTGTGCTCCTGCAGCCGTTCCTCCTCCAGGAAGGCACTCTCAGGTTGGTTGCTTGTCGATGAGCCCCGCGTGCTTCCCCGAGGGTTTCCTTACATCTTTATGAGAATCCTGACACTACCGCGGCACCATTGTGTCAGGGCCAGGGCAGGATTATCCAGCCCCAGTGCTTTTTGAAATGGCTTACAGCACCGGCATGGCATTTCGTATTTATTTCTCTCAAACCATTCTGTATGCACTTTTGTGCAGCATCTTTAAATTGATCTAAATCTGGAGGAAATATGTTCCCATATATGCTTCGGATATCTTCTCTCAAGACTTGCCATGTTATGGGTTGATTGGGATGAAAATGAGTTGGTTTTTTTCTGATGAAATGGGTGAAAAGTTCATGGAAGAAAGATGCGCCTTCTATTTTCTGTAGTTTGATGAAGGTGGGGAAGAAGGAGGGGACTGAGTTCTTGAAAAAGTTCAAGTGGGCTTTTTTCTGTTACCTCAGCCGGCCATGTCGTGCACTGCCTGATTCGGCTGGGAGTGCTCTAAAGGGAGGAATACACAGCACAGCTGTGTGGGAGACCATATTTAATTTAATGCTCCAATTTCTGGCCAGCTGAAATGTGGTACTGAGGAGGTGGTGGAGTCCCCATGCAGATTTTTACCAAGGCCTTTCGCAGGGGGTGTTGCGAAGAGAGGAAGAAGAGGGAGAAAATCTGATGGAAAATGAAAGTAATTATAATGACTCATTTTTAAACAAATGGATGCTGAAGTTCAGACCTTAGACCTCAGACCTCAGTATAGGCAGTGCACTCCTTTTGAAAATGGTGATTATTTTTACCTAACTGGTTTTTAAAATGAGATATCACATTTAATGGGTGTAGGAATTTCAGGCATTTGTTTTCAATGTGATTTTCTGTCTGTCTTTGTCTTCTAGTTTTGGCATACATTAGCCAGTTTCAGCCAAACGTGGAAGGTGAAAACTCAATGGCATTAGCTTTGGAAAAGTCTCATGACAGTCGGTAGCTGGATACTCAGCCATACAGATCCTGCTCTTGCTGGGGGAAACACAATCAAGGTTCGGCTGTTGTTCACCGCTCCCCATGTTAGTGGGTGAGTAGTTAATAAGCCTGTGCACGGCATACGCTCACGGGCCAGAGAGGTGGAGACGTGAGAAGGAAATATTGGAAAGCCTGAAAAACCTTAGCGAAAGAGCTGCAAGTAGTTCAGCGGGAGACTGGAGGGGAGAAAGACAGGACCAAAGGAAAGAGCTGGGAAATATCACAAAGGTGAGAGTAAAGTCCTAAAGTACCTATATCCAGAGAAACTGGAGGTTGTGGAGACCTGGATGGATGTCTGATGTCTGTGGAGGGGCAAGTGAAAGAGGCAGGAGAGAAATCTGCAGGAAATCAGGCAGTGCATGGAACAAGCTTGTCAAAAGCATGGTCTGTTTGAACATTAATAATTTATGTTTAGGAGTGTGAATGCCAAAATATAACAAAATTTGGGACAGAACATCCTCCTTCTTTTCTCTGTATGGCCCATAGGCCAAAAATGTACTTTGAGTTTTACCGGTAGATTAAAAAGTGAAGCTCAGGGTAGCACCTGGGGCTCAGATGGGTGGCAGGGCGCAGTCACATTATGGAGGAGGACTTAAGGAGCTGTGTGTTCACATCCACAGACACGGGCACCTTGATGCATTCCTGATGCCTGGTCTGCACACACACCAAGTAAACACACCTGAAATGTGTCTGTCACCTGGCAGAGCATTGCACTCGGACACTGATGAACAGCAGAAGATGTTGGGGAAAAAAGTAAGACAATCTTGAGTTTCAATAAAACTGTCTTGGAATAAAAAGTAGAGAGAAGTCTGGACTTGAAGGTTGCATCTAAAAGGCCTCCGGACCTCAGGCGACTAGACAGAGGTAAGGGGTCTGTCCTGTTTGGTTTGCAATGCTTGTTGTGCATCCCTTGACAGGCAGGGACCCTCTCGGTCCCTCTGCTTTACCCCCGGTAGGAATTTGCAGGAAAAAATAGTAAGTTCACCTCACTGACAGTGCTGACAGTGCTGTTTCTTTCTGTAAAGCATTTACATGAGTCAAACCTGACAAGGAACACAGGCTATATAATAGACTTAAAAAAAACCTTCATAAATACAGAATTGGTTTTATAGATATTTGTTGTAGTGTATTATGTAAATAATACATAACACAGGTGTAGAAATAAAATGGGGACAGTTGACACAAAATCAAGAATCTTGCAAAACTACACTTACTGAAGTCTTACTGGCAGATAGATATGGTTCATGTTGGGTTTCCACTTTTGATTAGAAAAATATCCTAGTACAAATAAACATTCTTCTGCAGTGTTTGAAAGCTATGCATGCAACTTTGGGCTGGAGCAGCAGACCTGAAATTAAAACTGGCAAGAATTTTGTTCAAAAAAAGAGAAGGAAATAGTCTGCCCTGCTTTTCTTGATCACAATGATAAATAAGCAACGTAGGTCACGAAAAGCAAATCAAGAACCAGATCATAAGCGCTGCGTATAGTCCCAGCTTTGCTGAAGTGCAAAAGAAAATTGTCCATATTGTCTAATTGCCCTATCTTTGAAATCATTTAGCTGGTTGAGCGAGCTGCTGTGCCAGAGCTTGCTGGCGTGGTTGTGGACAGCTGGCTATTGCAGCTATGAGGGTTCTGGATCGGAGCAGACTGATGCTTAGTTATCTCACTGCTTGGACAGAGCAAGTCTGAATCTTCCTCCATTCAAATACATGCACAAATATTGTATTTCTTTCTTTTGTATGTAGGGTTATTTCAGCAGTCGTATTCACAGTTATTGAATGCATTATTTTGGAACTCATGGTATCCATAACCCAAAACTCATTTGAAAATCCTCCCTAAGAAAAAGTATTAGCAGATATATGCTGTTTGCTGGACATCACTGACCTCCCTGGCTTCTAGATGAAGACCGTGTTTGTCCCTGCTTCCAAAACCAGTTCTCAAAGAACTGGAGTTTGTCACAGTACTGAACTATAGACCTATGATCTTTAGCTGACATGGAGTGAACCTGGTTTTCTGCTTTGAGGGTCCGTAGTACCCTCTAGGATGGATTGCAGAAGTCAGTCCTGGGAGAGTATGGGAAAGGCATTTTGCAAGTACTCACTGCATGCAAGAAATGGACTGGCTCAATTTCACACAGAAAGCATCCATGTGCTGCGACAATATGGGAGATTATTTTTGCTTTGGAAATCTCACTGACATTTTATGTCTATTTGATCCTTCTATTTTTAAAAGGCTTGCTAGCAATTTGCTTTAGCAATAGAA